TTCTGTGTTAGTTTACCGTCTTCTTACGGGGCACGGGATTTCAGCAGACAGACCGTACAGCGCTTGCGAGACTGACATCTATTCTGAGCCATATCTCTCAGCGTCTTCAACCAACGACAATCCTCATCCCTGCGACCCCAATCTGGAAGACGGGCTGCACCAACTGAAGACAAAACTGAGGTTAACTTCTTCATATCTCTACGCCATGTCATGGTCTGACCGCCGCGACGTTTCCTTCAGCCTTGTTCAGGATGTGCGAAAAGAGCATGAAAGGGTAGACGATAGGCAGGCATACGTAATACGTGACCAAGCCATCGGAGGTGGTGTAGACTGGTTACTTCTTTTGGGTAACGACTATCCGCATCCAACATCCAACATATGACGACGAACTTCGACATTGTTCACTCGATGCTCCCAAATGACACGGGCAATACTTCAGAGACATCGGTGATCGAATATAGAAAGTCGATTAGCAGCCTCCGCTCGGAGCCAGGTCTCACAACGGTAAAGTAGAACGCTACAAATAGCGGCGATGTCCCTTAAGGGACAGTCGGATATCATGGCGGCGCCACAGGTGTCGCAGGTTGGCAAAAGCTGCTCTAGCTTTCGGTATTCGTGATGTGATCTCCCCAACATCACCATCTGCGATCAAGCTGCCGAAGTACAAGCACAGGCTCTTAAACAAGCACTGCACTTGAAAGGTGCAAAGGACATACCATATATGGATAACTCGATCGCCAAGCGTTTCGAAGCGTTTTGGACTGCCTGTGTATTGTCACCCAGCAAGGCGCTATCCTCAGCATATTCTAAGTCAAGGACTCTGTTCCCTGGGAGGAGTTCGACTTCATCGTTTACTAGACCGGACAAATCATTCTGTGGAAATCCTCTATGACAAAGTTGAAAAGGAATGGGGATATGGGACAGTTTTATCGCATTCCACTGGAAAAAGTGAAGGTGACGAAAGCTGGCCATGTGCTCTAACCCGACCTGAAATATGACAGAACATGTAACGACCTTGGTCCATTGCCATTCCGTTTGAGTGTGAGTCGTGTTCATGTCTCACTGGATCACTTGGTTAATGGTGTCTGCATTTTCCTCTCTTTTAGATTGTCAGTTGGCTCTGTCCATGGAGAACACTCTGTCTGTCGACGGTTCCAGCCCACACCTAGACTCAGCCCACTTGCGGTTGTCTGGTGTATCCGTTCACGGGGGCATCCTGCCGCACACACGGTCCAAGCATCTCACACGGGTAATGATTCTATAAATAAAGCTTTGTGAAGGATTACAGATGCCGCCTGAGTATACCTCGGATTTCGGTCTGCAGTAACAAAAATCCCCCAAATATCCCTAGGTAGTGTGACATGTGCGAGGCTCATTCGGCATTAAATGTCATAGCTACCACGCTGTAGCACCAACGTTAGAAACGAATCCTTAATCGAAAAAATTAATTTTTATCGAGGATACCACTGTGTATCATATTCTCAAGATTCCTCCTGGATTTCTAGATGAAGCAATGGCTTAAAAATTGGAGGCACAACTACACAAATGGTTTGGGACTATTCAGACGCGTGAAAACACAAACCTACGCTACACTAAACCCGCTTGTTGATTTAGTAGCCCGTAATTTGTTGACTAACCTTGCACTGGTTGGTACTTTAATGGCTTAAGCTCGAAGATTGTTTACCATAGTCAAAATCTCTTATTATACGGACATGCATATGTATACAGTGATGGTCAAGTGTCTTCCAGCATCAATGCAACAACCTGGTGTTCCGTCCACAGCGGCCCATCTTTCTCACTTCTATATTTCCCCAGACAGCGTTTTTTTTACCTACAGCAACCTTTCTGGAAATCGAATGTGCATTATTATTTCTGTTAACACCACTATCATAGAGAACCGGTCACACACCGCCACCATTCTCAAATAAGTTTAATGTGGTAGGCAAGACGTTGCCAGAAACTGGCCAGTTTTTTCCTTTTATGAGGTGCAATGAGTACCGGATGCTGTGACAACATGGGTCTTACTTGTTGTGGATAAATCAAATTTAATATCACACTGTCACGTACATACCGTTTTGGGTTTCAAACACTTCTGTGCCAAACTAGTTAAACGGTGGATGACCTTATATGGGTCCCCTTCAAGTCTGACGGGACTCTATTTAGAGGTCAATCTCATTCGACCTCTCTTGGGATCCTTGAGGGAATGCCATTGAGAGCAGTCGTGTTCAAGTCCTATTTATGTCCTTGTGGGAATGTACATAAGTGATATCATAATGAGAAAAAAGAGCTGAAATAGAATGACACATTACATTAATAAGAAATCCCTTGATTCGTCAAAATAATTTGCTCGCGTTTTAGCCCGTAACTTACTTAGATGTACTCATTTCGTTTTGTTATTTGAAGAGCAGAGCTGTATGCTACCGAGCGCGTCCCCAGGTCGCGGATAGGGGAACGGCCGC